TAGATAGGAGGGTGGGGGGAGGCAGGAAGGTGGGACGGCCTGGGGGGGCCGAATGGGGAGGGGAGAAGTGACGGCCTGGGGGTGCTCGGGGAAACCCCTCCACTGACCTTCCCCCTCCCCTCCCCAGCGCTGCTGGGGGTTCGCTGCTACGGCACCCACCTGAACGGCTACACCTGGCGCAGGGGCCGCCCCTGCATGTGGCTGGGCCGCCGCGCCCTCACCAAGCCCACCTACCCCGGCCAGCTGGACAACCTGGTGAGGGGGGCACCGCTGGGGAGGGGCACGGGGCTGGATGCAGGGGGCGGAGCACTGGGGGGAGGGGTTCTGTGGCAGCCGGCTGCACCCGCACCGGAGAGGCTCCGGGGGGAGGTACCACGCTGGAGGGGCCCGGGGCAAGGTACCATGCCACAGGGGCCTAGGGGGAGGTACCACGCTGGGGGGAAGGTACCACGCTGGAGGGGACCGGGGCAAGGTACCATGCCACAGGGGCCTAGGGGGAGGTACCACGCTGGAGGGGCCCGGGGCAAGGTACCATGCCACAGGGGCCTAGGGGGAGGTACCATGTCAGAGACACCCAGGGGGAGGCACAATGCCAGAGAGGCCTGGGAGGAAGGAACCACATTAGAGAGGCCCGGGGGAGGTACCCCACGTGCAGGGCGCTGCCCTCACTCCCTGCTGTCCCCCAGGCGGCGGGGGGCATCGCGGTGGGGCTGGGGGTGACGGAGACGCTGGTGAAGGAGTGCCAGGAGGAGGCCTGCATCCCCCCCGCGCTGGCAGCCCAGGCCCGGCCCGTGGGCACCATCAGGTAACTCGGGGTGGGGGGGTCACCCTCTCTAACCCCCCCCTCTAACCCCCCTTTCCTCTCTGCTCTGACCCACCCCAGCCCCTAGATCTGCCAGGTCAGCATCACCATGTGGCCAAGAGGAGAACTGCATCTGCAGGGGGCTGAGCCCAGCACCATGGGGGTGGAAACCAGGCAGGGTCCAATGGGGAGCCGCTCTCCCCCTCCAGCACCCACCCTGCTGACCCCCTCTCCCCTCCCCCTAGCTACACCTATGAAGACCATCGGGGCATCTTCCCCGAGTGCCAGTTTGTCTTCGACCTGGAGCTGCCCGAGGAGTTCGAGCCCCACGTGGGCGATGGGGAGATGCAGGAGTTTTACCTGTTGGGCCTCGATGAGGTGAGCGGTGGGCAGGGGGCGCTCTCCCTTGCCAGTCAGGGCCAGGTGCTGTGGGGCACCGTGCTGTGGGGCAAAGTGCTCAGTAGGGGGCACTTCCCCCTGGCAGGCTGGGCACTGGGGGGCACCGTGCTGCAGGGAGGGGGTCAGGGGCACCCGGCCAGGCAGTTAGCGCTGCCGCTCCTGCCCTGCCCTGCCCCACCCCGAGGGAGGTTGCGTTGGTTATCGCCCATGGCGACAGCCCATGACCATACACTTCTTAGGGAGCGCCAGGCACCGTTATGTGTGGCTGTTTCCCAGCTGCTCCGCTCCAGAGGTGGCTGCTTCTCCATGGAAGGCCAGACAGCCGCCCGCCCACAGCTGGTCTCTCTCCCGCAGGTGAAGGACGCCATCGCGTCAGGTGACTTCAAACCCAACTGTGCGCTGGTCGCCCTGGATTTCCTCATCCGGCACGGCCACCTCCAGCCTGATCATGGTGAGGGGACAGCCCCGAGCTCGGCTAGCAGGGGCTGCGGGTCAGAAGTAGGGGCACCAGCTGAGCTGGGGGAGGCACAGGGGCTACAGGTCGGGAGTGAGGGGCACGGGCAGGGCGGAGCCAGGGGCTGGGGGGTGGGAGTGGGGCTTCGCACCAGCCTCTCACCCCCTGTTCTCCCCACAGAGCCCCACTACGCCGAGCTGGTCGAGGGGCTGCACCGGAGCAGGTGAGACGTCGCCGCTCGTCTCCACTTCTGCTGCCCCTACCCAGCGACCCCCGCTCCTGTGATAAGGGTGCCAGGACACAGGGCCCCACCCCTCTGCACCCCGCCCCCCGGCACCTGCCTGAATAAATCCTCAAACCCTCAGCTGCTGTGTGCGTCTGGCTCTGGGGGGGCGCAGCTCACACACCGCAGGGCCCGTCCCCTCCAGCAGGGGGCGCAGGGCCCATCTCCTCCAGCAGGGGGCGCTGGACACACACAGGGCGCAGGGCCCGTCCCCTCCAGCAGGGGGCGCAGGGACCCACACAGAGCGCAGGGCCCGTCTCCTCCAGCAGGGGGCGCAGGGACCCACACAGAGCGCAGGGCCCGTCTCCTCCAGCAGGGGGCGCAGGGATACATAGGGTGCAGGGACCCACACAGCGCAGGGCCCATCTCCTCCAGCAGGGGGTGCTGGACACACACAGCGCAGGGCCTGTCCCCTCCAGCAGGGGGCGCAGGGACACACACACAGAGCGCAGGGCCCGTCTCCTCCAGCAGGGGGCGCAGGGACCCACACAGAGCGCAGGGCCCGTCTCCTCCAGCAGGGGGCGCAGGGACACATAGGGAGCAGGGGCCCCAACCGCGACA